TCTCTAGCCTGATTCTACTCGGCTGGGATTTGAAATCTTCCGAGGGTCTCACGGCTTCCACACCAGCACTGTAAGAGCTGCACCGAGATTGGAAGCACAGTTAGAAGAGCGAAAAAATAAAAATAAAAATAAAATAAGGAAGATCTTCAGGAGCCTCACTTCTTCTGCCTTCAAGAGCAGGTGGGAAATTAGCAAAGTTCTTATCCTGCCCTGTCCTCATTTTCCACATCTGTAACGAGAGTTTCTGATTGGCTTTCTGTCGCTCCCATGAAGTCTGGCGCCTGCCTTCTGAGTTTGTTTTGAGAGTTGCTAGAGGATTCCCTGGCTGCTCTCGCATGCCTGAAACATTTGTGCTCAGACCTAGGCATTTGTCATTTTATAGTCTACCTAGGCCCTAGTGGCTTTGATTCTGCCTTCTGCCCCTCTGAAGGAATCCTCTGTACTTATGCTGCACTCCATCAGCCTGTAGTTTTGCTGGACTCGTGGAAAGGTCAGATAACACGATTTTGGAGAAAAAGGAGGAATATTTAAATGTCAAAGGACGAGTGTGATCACAGGGAGAGGAGGATTCTGAGGGGGACTCACAGCACCGTGTATTTTACTGTAATGCACTTTAAGAAATATAAACATTCTCCACATCTGTCGGGACACACCTCCTGGATGGGGAGGGGGAACGAATGGGAACCTAGACTCTCCATGGGCTCAGCGCCCTCCGCCCCTTCCCCTGGGCCCCACACCTCCGTGGGGCAGAGTGGCAGTGGGATCAGCCAGGCCTCGCTTCCCTCCTGAGGAAGTAAACCCACGAAAAAGGAAAGACTACGTGGCCCTCACTGCAGCCCCTATTTCTTTCTTATTGCCCACGCAATAAGATGAGTTCTTCCCATCCCTCCTTCAAATACCTACATTTCATCATTACTCTTCACCAAACTTCCAGGCTTTCTGGAGAAACTTTCCAAACCATGCAGAAGTCAGAAGTCTGTGTGGGCCCCAGAACAGGGGGCTGGACACCATCTTTCATTTCTCCACGATTTTGCGGCTGTCCTTTCCTGGCTATTTCCTTTCCTGAAAAGTTAGCCGGTTGGATGGAATGGTGCCCGTATCCCTTCCATTTCTAAGGAAGTTTGTGGTTCTCTTTCTTTCCCTCCAGAGACCATGGCTTCAATCCTAAAATTCACAGACCTTCTCCAGTGTGTGGTGGCGAAAATGGGGTGCTATTTGAAGCTGTGGGATCCGTGGTCGGGCCATTTCTCAGAGCTTTCTCTGGCTGCAGTTCACTTCTCAGTTGATGCTCGCACCTGAACTGCCCTTGCCTTCTGAGCACTGCAGACTGGACACTTGTGATTCCCCAGTCACCTTTCTCCCATCCGAGTGTCATGGCTCAGGTCCTGCATTACCCTCTCCAGTGCCGGCTGGGCCCCTTCTGGGGATGTCACCTATCTCAAGTATACTGTTCAGTAGGGTGAGGTGTAGTCCACCCCAGTACCCTTTCCATTCTGCAAGGCTGAATCTCCGTCTTCACAAACACCTCTACCTTCCTCACCTGGCCCTCTCCAGTCAGCTTTCTGCTTTCTGTGTTTCTGAACTTGGCTACTCTGGAGGAACCTTCTTGTGTATGTCTGGCTTATTTCACTCCACATAATGGCTTGCAAGTTCAACCATAGTTTTCCAAAGCACGCTTCTATACTGCTGCTGGAAACAGAAACTAGTACAACCACTGTGGAAAACTGTATGGAGATTTCTAGAAAACCAAAATGAGAAATTCCATCCAACCCAGCCGGTCCCCTTCTAAATATCTTCCCAAAAGAGTTAAAGATGTCATATCTCAGTGATCCATGCATACCCATGTTATAACAGCACAGCTCCTAGTAGCTAAATCTCGGAAGCAGCCCGTATGTCTCTCAACAGATGAATGGATAAAGGAAATGTGGTGTTTACAAACAGAGGAGTGCTACTCTGCCATAAAGAAGAATAAACTTGAGTCATTAGGAGGAAGACGGATGCACCTTGTGACTATAATGTTAAGTGAAATACATCAGACACACAAGCTCAAATATTACCTGGTTTCCCATATATGAGAAACCCCAAGTATAAATAAAGAGCAAAATAAAAGACAGACAGTAGGAAGTAAGGAGACCGATCTTTTGCAAATGGGAAGGAGATGTTGAGATGGACAGAGAGGAGGAAAGGGAAAAGGAATGAAAATAAGAATTAAGACATGTTATGTCCATGTGCCAAGTCCACCCAAGAAATGTAAGTGGGCGGCAGTGGGGAGGGTTGGCTTAGTGGTGCTGCTGCCTGCCTCACAAGTGTAAGGGACTGAGTTTCGATCCCCGGTACCAAAAGCAAAACAAAAAAACAAAGGTAAGCATGCACTGCAGACATGTACAAACAAAAGATTTCCTTTTTGAGGTCGAGAGCTATCCCGTTGTTTGGATAGACCACATCTGTTTATTCACTCTTTTTAATAGACATTGGCTAGCTTCTACCTTTTGGCTCCTTCATGTAAAATAACAACAGGGCCTTAAAGAACAGTAATGAGAAAACACCTCATCCTGAGCCAAGTATAATTAACCACTGCCCAGGTGCAGGATTCGAGTTCCTCTGAGTGAGGATTCATCACAAAAGAGGCCACGCGAACCTTTAAAGCCACAGTGCAAAAACTGCAGGCAAGCAAATTCACAGTGTTCCCAGCAGGGCATTGGGAACTCTGTGTAGCTGGCTGGAAGTTAAACATTTTACAAAAGTACACAATATGGTGTCTCTTCTCTTTTCCTGTGGAAGCCCTTTGGGCCGCGAGCATCTGAGAAGCTGTTACCCTGATACACTGCATGAAAATCTCATTAATTTAGTAGGGACCAGACAAAATAGATTTTGAATTAATTCCATTTGCAGTGCGTGAATATATTGTTCAGAGATCCAGGATGTGTTGCTGGCTGAGGGATCCCCGCTTATCCTGTTAACTGAGGTGATGGTCTAAGCCAATTGATGAAGACAATGATGTTTCCAGTGTTTGGGGGCTGTGGGGGTAATTTGGGGCATACATTATTCAAACCTTCTGGCTATTTTAATGAAATCCATCGGGTTCTTTCCTGTTGTCACAGCCTGAGGTGGCATCTTGTCAACTGCCAGTTGCTATGCTTTAAAAATGTTTCTCATTCCTTTCTGAGCCCTGGTCAAACTGATGGATCCCTAGATATCCTGAGTGTGTCCCTCAGAGTTTTCACTCCGACAGACGCACACTGTACTTGATTTTTTCATTCCGCAGTCTTCCCTGCACCTTTCTGGAGTGACTTGTGCTGGTCAGCGGGCACTCGGCTTGTTTTAAGACCTGTGTGCTTGTGTCCCATTCCCAATGGGACAACGTCCTGCTACATTTCCACGAAGTAGCGCCCCCATGGGTGTGAGCTGGGCACACACAGTGCCTCTCTCGGAAGTCTGGTCGCCACTGCCGCATGACTTCCGGGGCGTTTGTTAGGTGCAGGGCAGGCGTCGTGCCTTCTCTCTGTGATCTGGTCGGTTCCGTTCAGGGCTTCATGATGATGACGCTGAAATGTGAGCTTTGCTAACCCTGGAAGGAGAGGGCAGCGCCCTCAAGGGGAGGGGTGGGGTTGGAAAGCGCAGGTGGGGCACTGCAAGGTGCTCCTCCCTCCTTTTGCCCACACCTCTCTCCTGCCTCTTCCTGTCTCAGTGTCCAGGCCCACCCCCCCGCCTTTTAGATGAACTTTTGCTAAGTTTGGAGTTTTTCTTCTTTTTTTTTTCCATTAAGTTTATTGGTTCTAAAAAATCATTATCCCCCTTGTGTAACGCTTTTTGTGGGTTTTTCTGTAAAAGCTTTTTTGATTGATTGATTGATTGATTGATTGATTATAGTGGAGATCAACCCTAAAGCTTTTAAAGTGAGACAGCACTTTGCTAAATTGCTGAGGTTGGGCAGTCCTCCTGCCTCAGCCTCCCAGAGTGCTGGGATTACTAATGTGTATCACTACACCCAGCAAAACCTTTATTTTTGAAATCTTTCTTTTGTATCAAATTCTAGGTTGAGCCAAGGCAATTGGAATGTGAGTTCAGCCTGGCAACATAGCAAGGCCCTGTGTTTTTTTTTTTTTGTTTTTATTGGTTCTTTTTAGGTACACAGTGCAGTTACATTCATTATTGGGATCTTGTACCTTTACATGACAGGTCTTGGTTCTCATTTTTCCCCATACCCCTGCCCTCCCTTCACCCCGCACCCTTCCTTATTTACAAAGACTTTGTTTCCATTTTTTTCCTTTTCTCATATTTTTTCTGTTTCCTTCTTTCCTTTTCCCTGACCTTCCCACATCTCCTAGTCCTTCAGACTTTTTTCCTATTTCATATCGTCAATTATATAATTTAAACCTTATTTACACTTTTAGTTTTTCACACTAGAGAAACTATTCGCTATTTACATGTGTGTCCTATTCATTTCACTTAAGAGTATGGCTTCAGTGTGCACCCATTTTGCTATAAATCTCTCTAATTTCTTGTTCTTTATGGCTGAGTAGTACTCCATTCTATAGAAAAACCCATCTTCTTTATTCAGCCTCCTGTTGGTGAGCAATTGGGCTATTTACAAGTTTTGTAGTCTCCTCCTTCTTAGCCCTCCCTATTCCTGGGGCCTTAGAAAGCCTGGGTATTCCTGCATGGAAGTCCCTTGTCAGGTGAGGACGCCCCCCAGCCACACCCTCCAGGCTTCCCTTGGGCTCCTTGGACCACCTCTGTCTATCCCCCTACACACAGGCTCCTCCCTCAGACAGGCCCCTGGCTTCCACTGCTATATCTGCAGCCCCAATATTGAACAGTTGAGGTGCTCACTGGCCCCAAAAATTGGTGAATAGGAGAGAAGGGCATGGCGCCATCTTGGAAAGGCCGCTTTGGGTCTCCTTGCCTCTTGGCTGTTTCTCCCTTCTGGCTAAGTGCCTCCACACATTGATGATTTAGATGGGGATCCAGTCAGAAGGAGGAAGGGTGCCCAGGGGATGCTCTCTGTAAAGCAGGTGAAGCCCATTTTCTGAGATGTCTGGCCCCTCTGCTGACTTTAGTGCTTTTGGGTTTTCTGTCTTTTGGTCGTCTCTCTAGAATCAGAAGAAAGACAGGAAAGGTAAGAATCAAGACCCCACGCAGATTTAAAAGTAGTTAAACTTAGTTAACCAAAGGACTGAGAAAACAGGGAAAGTGTAGGGTCAGGGAAGGGAGCTTCCAGATGGGAAAAGGATGAGGATTCCTAAAAAAGAAAAAAATTTGAAGTGAAGCCCTAAAAAAAGACAGAGAAGGGATGGATGTGGAGTCCTCCAGGATTTGGGCGGAGGAGGATAGGTAGGCGGGCAGGTCAGGACAGGTCAGAGGAAAGTAGTCTTTGTCAAACAAAAGATTTAGTTTGGAGTTTATCTTTCTTTGTTTTATTTTAAAATCTAGGATGCTTCACTATTTTATCAGTTTCTCCTGAACCCTCTTTCAAATGCAACTCAGAATATGGTGCATTTTTTATTATTTCCTTGCAGCATGTTGATCATCCTCTTGGTCCTTCCTGGGAACCTTGTGTGCTAGTCTATTCAGTGGAGGGGAAACAGGCTGGTGTCTTGGTGTCTTAGTGTAGGGAGCGGGCATTTTGCTGAAAAGCCATTGTATATTCAAATGCAAACTCCCCACGATTTGTCAGTCACAAATAATGCCTTCTGAAGATGGAGAAAGAAAATCTATTAAGGTTTTCTGAAAGATATTAAGTGCGCACAGGTTCAAGACCTCTGTGGGGAAGTTTTGTGTCCTACAGAGGATTGTAGGGTGCTGATTTAGCATGGAAACATCATCATCACTTATCTTACCTCAGTTTCCCTCCATTGTAAAGAGAAAGATGCAGAAGTGAATGGAAAATCCTGTTGGCATATTATGAACTGGATTTGCTTAAGCCACCTTTCCACAGTGAGGGACTGTGAACATTGCCTCATATGTAGTTGGGGAGCGAACCCCGTGCAGACACCCGTGACTAATGAATGGACGTGGCCTTACTTGCTTTCTCTCTCCTACATTCCCAGCCTCTGTTACATTTTGAGACAGGGTCATGCTGCATCATCCAGGCTGGGCATGATCTTCTAATTCTCTGGCCTCGGGCTCCTAGAATGCTGGGATTAGAGGTGTGAAACACCACTTCCAGCTAGAAAACAAACTTCCTGACTCCCAAACATGGTACACTCTTCAGCAGTTCCCCTCTTCTCTGTCTCTCTTATTTACATGGACTGTTAAACTCTGTGGGTCTGGGACACGGCCACCAGCTCTCGCCACTGCTCACGTACTGCTAACCCAGACACCGCCAGCTCCCGCAGGCACCCACTCACCTGTCAGTATCTGCCATCCCTGAGGCGTCTTGCTGAAGGGCTGTAATTGCATCAGTATCAGGTAGCCACGGAAAGCAGTGCGAGGATCATGCAGGTGCACAGATGGCACAGAAGCCACCATTTAGAGAGCCTGCCAAGAAGACATGGGGCTAGGTGAAGGCAAAGCAGTAACCAGCTCTCCTGCCAGCGCCAGCTGACTACACCTGACCCTCCTTCGGGTCCAGACTCCGCTTATAGCCAAGATCCCCGCCTTTCCTGCCCCCACATTTCACACGATGGCTAACAGACATGGCCCTGCCCCTCTCACCCTGTCTTTGCTCCCAGGGCTCAGGTCAGCCAAAATGCACCCCCCCATTACTCGACAAAACCTTTCTCTTCCTCACTTCATCCAACGTTCCCCAGGTCATTGCACTGGCAGTGACCAGGTTGGCTCTGGGGCCATCTAGTCTACCGCACCAGCAACTGGGAGCCCTCAGAGATCAGGCATATGAAGAACTTGCTTTCTGAAGTCGGAAAACCTGGGTGGAGACATTTACTCGTGAGAGAATGGGGCAGTTTTTGTAGTCAGGATTCTCCCTGGAAGTCCTCAATACTCAGCTAATGTAGCTGAGCCTGAAGAGGAATTGGAGTTGAGGAATACAAGCACGACATGGGGAACTTTGAGACATTAAGCAGAAGTAGTCATCTGCTCCAGGTCAGACACAGGTAAATAAAGATGATGGTGTTGTCCTCAGCCTGAGGTTTCTTTTGTTCGATTCCTATGGGAACCATGACTTGGCAAAGCGTAGTTCTGCTTCAAGCTGCCTTTAGGGTTACAGCTCTGGGTTCTTCTGGCACAGGTTGACGCAAGTTAACGACAGACTCTGCAGTCAGCTGTGCAGGCTGCTGCACCACTCATCAGGTTCGGGTCTTCAGAACTCTGCAGGGACAGCAGCCCCTGGTGTTTGGAGTACTTTTGTAAAGCAGTTGCTCTGCCCGCACCACTCCGGGTAAGAATGCCCTCCTGAACCTATAATACCCAAAACAAGCAGATTTACAGGCTCACTAGAACACTTGGGTGTATAGGGTACAGCAGAGACTAACATTTCCCAAAGAGAACCCATCCTAGAGCGGCTCCAAAAGTGAAAAGGAGTGCTCTTTTATAGCATCTGCAGGCCTGTGATTGGTCCATTTTCAAGCCCATTGATTGGTCTGAATTCAAGCCTGTGATTGGTTCATATTAGAGCCTGCTTATTGGTCCAGATTGGTCTAAACACAAATCAAGCTACTGATTGGTCCAAATTCAATTCTGCTGCTTGGTTCAAATCAAGCCCATTGTTTCAGGGTAGACATCTTCCATTGCTGGTTCTAGGTGTGAAGGACAGCTGGATAGTCGTGGTGTCCTTTCCTGGGAACATGGAGAGAACAGTTTTGATTGACAACTGAAAAATGGTATCAGGACAGTAAAGGGAGATAGGAGGAAATGGATGGGAAAGGGGAAATTAAAAGTATCAAAATGTGCTGTATAAATTCCCCATGATGAATGTATTTCATTATGTGTCACAAACATATGCTAATTTTAAAAATATTTTTTTAAATGGTGGGAATCTCAGGAAGGCTACCTGTGTTCCTGAGTTTCCTTGGTGAGGTCGGGGACATTAGTAACAGGCCAGATCCCTCCCTGATCTCTGCCACTGTAATGGGCAGTTCCTCAAAAAGGTAGCCAAGCAGGAACAGTGGGAGGAGGGGAGAGGCAGGGCAGACAGCCCAGCAGTGTCTCCTGTCCCCTGGAAATCCTGGTGGACACTGAGGCAAGCTGTCTCAGTCCATACTTGCGGGGGGACCGAGGGGAGCAAAGGAAATGGTGATGCAGGGCCGTGACAGCTGTGGTCTGAACCACAGCCCTCGGCCTCATCACAGGGAAACACCCAGCAGGCAGGGCTCCTCTCTGAGTCCACAGCACTGGGACCCAGTGAGGACTTTGCCCAAGCACAAGGGTGAAGTGGAGCCATCCCAGCACCGACAGGGCTGCAGCCCATGTGCTTGTCACACATCCACAGGCCAAGACCTGCGTAGGGAAGCCAGGTCCTTCTCCCGGATGAGGTCTTCCTTTCCAGGGCCCCTGAGGCCTCTGTCCCAACAAGAGGAAGATGCAGGTCCCTCAGCCCCTCCGCAGTGTGATGACCCATTTGCCTTGCCTTCTTTCTTGCATTCCTGCTTTTCTGCTTGCCTGCCTGCCTTCCCTCCCTCCCTCCCTCCTTACCTCTCTCTCTCTTTCTTTCTTTCTATTGTACTGGGATTGAACTTGGGTCCTTGCGCTTGCAAGGCAGATGACGAAACCACTAAGGTATATCCTGCTGCCCCTTGCCTCTCTTAACCTGGGTTCTCACCTTTGACATTTGCTTCTAGATTTCCCCAGCTTTGGGGTTCACGTTAGTCCTCCTCCCAGCTTTTTCCTAATCTGGCTGGATTCTCAGTGGTTCCCCTCGGTCTGGGTTTCTGGTCTGGGGGACCTAGCCTGTCACTGAAGTCTTGGCCTCCAAGCCTCCTGTGTTCTCCTTGGGAGGTTCCTGCAGTTCCAGGGAGCAGTGAGGTAGGTGGGGTCCTCCAAAAGACGTGAAAGAGGAAGAGAGTGAGCTGCGGGTGTGGAATGAAGGAGGAGGAAGCGGAAGACATCACCCAAGTCCCTCCCCTCTTCTCTATGCAGTGGCCAGAGTGCAGAAGGCCTGAGCAGGGCAGGGCACAGGGAAGCCATCTGAACCATTCGTCCTGTCTTTATCTCCTGGGTGACCCTCTGTCCTAGTGGGGGGCTGAGACACTGGTGCCCTTGTTGTGCCCTTGCGCGTGGCTGCCCCAGTGTTGCCAGTCACATTATGAATGGTTCACCCTGAATGACTCTGACCTCTTAAGTGCTGGCTTCAGCTTTTGCAATTTACCCAGGAGAAGTGGAGAAGACTGACTATTGCAGAATACGCCAATAAAACTGCTTGTGGGCTTGAAAGAACCCCTGGCCCTTTTGATTTACGCCATTGTCCCAGTGCTGTTTATCAAATGTACTCGCAGGTTCTCCTCTTGAAGTTTCAAGCTGTAAATAAGATGGGCGTATTTGCCTGGGAGTACCTGTCTCCATGCACCCATTTGGATAATTAGTACAGTAAAATCAATATGGCAGAAAACGAGGGCTTGGCAAGATGAGAAATGGTGTGGGAGCCCGTTGCTTTAACTTTGGTGGGTAATGGATCCGAGACCTTTCCAAGGCTAGGTGGGTTCTGACAGAAATTTGCAAATAACTGGTATATTATTATTCTTTTTAAGACAATATAGGAAATATGTGCATTCTCTCTGATTTGCAGTGGGAAGGACCAAATCATACTTTTGAAAGAAGATTAAGGGAAAAATTTCAGGTCTGGACAGTATGCATTCCACCATGGAGAACTCAGATTTGAAGCAAGTTGTCTACCTGTATAGGTGTTCATCTGGATCTTTATATAACAAATATATCTAGGGCTATTGCTTTTGGATAAAAGTCCTCTTAAGTGTCACTTTAGACTTTGAAATGTTCTGGTTATTTTTTCTAGTAGCGTGCAATAGAAGAGCAGATAAAAATAAAAATATATAACTTGTAAATTCATAAGACAGTGAAGGAAATTTAAAAATCATTATCTCATCACAAGGCAATGTCTTTATTTCTTCATATTCACTTTAAACCTCCAATTTTCAGGTTGCCTGATTCTTCTCCCATTGCAATCACAGTATATTGAAGTTTTGGAAAGAATCAGGGATCTTGGTTTTGGATCCAGATGTTCAGGAAGAGAACCGTTCCTTAGGTTTCACTCTCTGGGAAATAGCAACAACGGATATCAGAAATGTATAAATGTAAATAACAAAATTTTGAACATATAGTTGTGAATTAATGATAGTCATCTTTAGATATGTCATTTCCTGCTTTGTTGGTGTCATGTTATCTTGTTAGATTTTATACAGGAAGATTTAGAGGAGGAGTCCATAGACTGGCCTCAGATGCACTGTAAAACATTGCAAATTGCGTACACATTTTTGCAAGACTGTGTGGATGCTAATTCCCTGATTCTCAGAGAAAGAGCAGAGCATTTTGTCAGTTTCTGAAAAGTGGCTGTGGCTCCCTCATCTCTTAAGCAGCCTGATATCCAGAACAAAGCTAGAACCTCTTGGTAGCCTTTATAATCATGCATGTGCGCATGCACACACATACACACATATACACACACACACACAGACACACACATAGACACAGACCCACACAGACACAAATGCACACACACAGAGACACACACAGAGAGATTTTTGCTCTAATTTGTGTTTCTCACTTCTGCTTCCCTCTTTCTGGAACCTTTGTCTCTAGTCTTTGTCAAAATTCTCTCCACTCCCCCAGAAGGTTATTTTTTTGAAAAACATTTTTCACACCTTTTAGCACACCATCCTTTAGCCCAAGACACATGCTTCCCTTTCTGGGATATGTGACTTGCCCAGGTTTTATTCTGCAGTGGAGCTATTCCACTGACTGCACAGCCACCCCAATCTTTGTAGGAGAGAAAAATGAGCTGGCCAGATACTCATGTTCACCTTCCTGTAAGTGCTTATGTGGAAATACACATCCCAGTATCCTACACATTATTACATAAAATAAACACAGCTGCTACACTTGGGGTCTGTCATGCCTCTCACCACAGTCTTGGGTTAAAGATTTGCCCCCAGCTTTGCACTATTAGGAAGAGGTGGTGGTAACTTCAAGGAGTGTTGCTTGGTATGAACCAAGCTCATATGGGGGTGTCCCGGAAGAGGACTGTGGTCCAGTTTCTCTCTCTCTCTTTCTTTTCTGCAGTGTTGAGGATTGAACCAGGTCCTCATTTATGCCGGGCATGTTCTCTACCTGTGACCTACATCTCCTGCCCTTCACATCACTATTTTTAAGTTTCAAAACGTTTCTTTGCTCCACCATCCTATGAATCAATGTGTGTTATCTTCCAGGACTCTGTACCTCATCAATCTGCTTCCTGTTCTTCATTTGTTCAAATCTATCTCATTGATTAGAGAAATTCAGAGCTCTCATCATGACTTTCTGGAGAAGACAGTACTATGTAACCACCATGCTTTGGTGTGGCTCCATCTCAATGGAATCCATTGGTTCAGAGGGGATGCACTTGTGCTTTGGCATTTACAGAGCTTTCTTATTTTCTGAAAAAAAAAATCTGGCAGAAAGGGTTGACAGAGCTTCTTCATGTGCTCTTGATCCCAGAATTCTCTGGGGAATGGATCTGGGAAGGAAAAATGTTCAGGTATGAGAGCTTTTTATGGTGTGCAAATGTTAGCCTTAGAGAAAGGAGTGAGATGCCAGAGCGAGGCACATGCACAGGTGTAGTCCCCGTGGTGTTATGTGCTGTGGGGTGTGAGTGTGTGGATGCCCATGCGTAGGCTCAGGATGGCATTGTGTGGAAGAGACAAGAAATATCAGGATGACAGTGATGGGACGGATCCAGGAGCTGGTTGTTCTCCTCTGCTGATAACAACTATAGCTGAGCTCTCACCGAGCTGTGCGTGGGATGTGCTGCATCGATTCTGTGGGCTGTGG